CTCCAACGTGGCCTTCTGCCAGTCTATTTAAAGTTGTAGAAGTAGTGTCACAGCATTATAGAACTAGCATGGGGCGGGGGGAGCCCATCCGTAAAGCCACCGCTTGAAACTACTATGTTTGCGACGGGAGGTTGTAGCTCAAGTGGTAGCACGCATGCTTAGCATGCAGCAGGTCCTGGGTCCAATCCCCAGCACCTACATTAAAAAAAAAAAAAAGCTAATAATAAATAAATAGACTCACTGATCTCCCCCCCAAACTTTGGGGGGGAAACAAACTCCTATATCTGTGCATTCCTTTCTGGGCTTTTCTTTTCTTTTAGCATATCCAGCACAGTAGTCATGACTTTTGCACCCTGGATTTTTCCCATTAAAAAAATAAATAAATAAAACTAGGAGTAAGAAGGAGGGGAAAGAGGGTTTCACTATTCCTGTGGGAACTGTAAACTCCCCAAAGGAATGACAGCCCCTTGTGGAGTCCCGCGTGGGTGTGTTGTCACCACGGAATACTCCATGGTGTCTGGCACATAGTAGGTGCCCCGTGAATATTAGGGAATACACGAATGCTAGAAGTGAGGTACTTAGGAGGCTGAAACAACCTTTCTCTCCGCCTCTGGAAACGAGCTGTGAAAAATAGCTACCATGAGTCTTCCTCTCCCACTTTCCAGGTTTTAGGTAACTGAACACAGGAAGTGTCTTGGGGCGCGTGGGCTGTCTTCATCTCATCCCCATAACTGCGAAGGATTATTGTCTGTCTCCTTTGATCCACATGCTAAGTACTTCAGATACTTAGACTGGTACATTTCCCACAAGTCCCCTGAGAGAGGTGGAACCTCGGGGGTGAAAAGGAACCACGCTTTATTTGTCTTTTGCTTTTGTTTTTTACCCACACAGGAAGTTTTACAGGCAAGTTCTGCCAAATTTTGAAGCAACAGTCTGTCTTACAAAATTGTTCCAGAAAATGGTAAAAGAGGGAAAGCCAACCAACATATTTTATGAAGCTAGTTTAATACTGATCCTGAACCAGATAAGAATACCATAAGGCAAGAAAAGTATACACCCATTTTACTAATAAATATAGGTGTGAAAAATCCTAAGAGAATGTTAAGCTAGTTGAAGCCACTAGTATATATAAAAACGCATCAACAATGCTAATGAACATCATTCACAAAAAGATACTATATGATTCCATTTATACAAGGTACCTAGAATAGTCAAATTCATAGAGACAAAGTTGAATGGCAGTTGACTTTGAGGAGAGGGGAAAAGAAGCATTGTTGTGTAATGGATATATAGTTTCAGTTTGCAGGATGAAAAACTGGAGATTGGATGTACAACAATGTGAATATAATTAATACTACTGAACTATGCATTTAAAAATGTTTAGACAGTAAATTCTATGTTATGTATATTTTACCACAATTAAAATTTTGAATTTTTTTTCTCAAAAGAAATAAGCATCAAGATCAAGCAGAGCTAATTCCAAGAATGTAAGAATGGTTTCATACTAGAAACATCCACTATTTAATTCATCACATCAGGGAACTAAAAAAGTCAAATGGTTATTTCAAAATATGCAGAAAAAGCATTTAATGAAGTTGTGTGACTATGACAAAAACTCACAGTTAGGAAAAAAGAACAACTTTCTCAGGTTGCCAAAAGCCATATGCAATTAAGTATGATGGAATAAGTATTGACATTCCCTTCAAGATCAGGAACAAACTAAAGAATGCTCTCCATTGGTAATGCTGTTTAGCAAAGTATTAGAAGCACTGGTCAAAGCAATAAACCAAGAAAAAGAAATGAGAGTGATTATATCTACATAGAAAATCCAACAGAATCTATAGACTATTTTAACAAATTAGAGAGTTCAGCAATGTTACAGAGATATAAAATAAGCTACCAAAAATTAATAACACTCTTAACACTGTCCATAACCCACCCAATAATGCAGTAGAAAATAAGGTACCATTCCCAACAACAAAAACTGAAAGTATTTAGGAAATAAAAACACAGCCCAGAACTTTTTGGAGAAAAAAAACTTTTAAGGATATAGAAGAAGATATAACTGAAGTAACATACCTTGTTAATGACTAGAACAGTTTAACATTTAAAGCTGTGATTTCTCCTGAAATTAATCTAGAAAGTAAATGAAATCCCGTGAAAGTTGGGAGGATTGTTGAAGATTTTTGTCAAAGTTCTGTAAAGGAATAAAGGTCCATGAAAGACTAGATCAAGTTTGAAAAAGATGACCAAAGCAGGGGACTTGCCCTGCCATCTTAAACCACACTGCAAACCATAGTAATAAAAAGCACATGATACTGGCTGACAATTAGTCAAGCGGACCAAAGGAACCAAAAGAGAGCCTAACATAGATATTTATGTTAACAACAGTATACTTGGTATGTGATAAAAGTGCCACAACTATTCAGAGGAAGAAAGAACTGATTATTTGGTAGATAGTGCTGAGGAAACTGGTTCACTCTACCTCGAAATCTAGGTCTTTTCTTGCACCACTTTCAAAGGTACAAACCATAGGGTTAAGGATCTTTTGAATTGTAATAATACCTAACATTGATCAAGTACTTAATATGTGCCAGGCACTGTGTTATGCTCCTTACTATGTATTAACTCATTTAATCCTAAATTAATGCTGTGAGGGAAACACTATTATTACCGCCATCTGACAAATGAGGAAACTGAGGCACAGGAAGATTGTGTAACTTGCTCAAGCAAGGCCAGGACTGGAGTGAGGTGTCATGCAAGGTTGAATCCTTTATTTTTAAAAATTGGTATTTTGTTCATCATGGATTTTTGCCTTATATCAAATAATTTTTTAAATAATGCATTAAGATATTGATCTTGCTTACTGAGTTTTTTGGTGTCCCCTTAAATTTTTCACCCAAGGGGACTTCCTCATTCCCCTCACCCTAGTCCTGGTTTTCCAAGATCCCAAAGGTAGTGAGGAGAAGACGGGAATTCCAGTACAGGCAGCTTGGCTCCAGAGTCAGTGAACTATCTTGTTGCAAGCCTTTTCTAGATAGTAAAACTATCAGGCCAGTAGAATAGATGTTGGAGAATATCTTTGTAACTTCAGAGTGAGGAAAGGCTTCAAACAAGATTCAAAGAGCACAAACCTAATGGATTTGACTATATAAAAATGAGAGCTGTTCTTTAACTAAGGGTACCTTAGACAGAGTGAGACAAAGACTGACAAGGAGGAATTATATGCAACATCAAACCCTGCAAAGGATTAATACTTAGATATGTATAGACATGTAAATCAGCAGGGAAAAGGGCTAGAAACCAAATAGAAAAAAAATGGACAAAGGCTTTGAACAATCCACAGAAAAAGGACCACCAGAGCATGAAGAGCCGTTCACATTCTCCCATCAATAGAGAACTCAGATGAAAACGAGCCACCCCTTTAGAGTCATCAGATTGGCAAGCCATTAAAAAGCTGGAATACCGAATACTTAAGAGAAAACCAGAACCTGCGTGGTGGGTGTACAAATTTGTACAACCACTCAGGAGACCATCCATGGCACGTACCATAAAGGGATGGTGTGAAGATGTTCACAACAGCAACACATGCGATGAGGCATTGAGGCCAAGCTAAGTGTGCATCACTGAGG